TAGATGCACGTGGTATTTATTTAGTATTTATTAATAGATGCACGTGGATGATCTTCAGCAGATTTGTGCCACGTGTTCACTCGTGCACGAGTGTTTTTGATCTAAAAGCATTTTTTCGGCGGAGATGAGCAACCGGCTTCAGCAGAAACCAAAAGGAAATTTATTATTTTATGAAATTATAAAGATCAAAGGAAGCATTAATAATGGATTTCAGTGGTGGGCGCGGATCCGCTAACGGCTAATTACGAAGCTAACTTTTCGTTTAGCAGGTTAGAGTTTTTGCTAACTTTTGGATATCGTTAGCGGAATTAGCTTAAGCTAAATTAGGATTTACCAACTTTAAGTCCGCCAACAAAACTCACGTTTGTTTCCGTCTTTGTGGGCGTGTCTCTAAGAGTCCGTCAGGCACGCTATTGGCTGACTGCGTGTTCACGTGACGACGTGATTGGTCGACGCAGCAGCTAGCTAAAAACCTTTACGTGACCCAGTAGAGTCAAACACGTCAACAGGTCGACCGTCCCACCTGTCCTCAGCGGGAAGGAGACGAAGACCGACAGTCGCCTTAGTGGTTAGCGTTAGCCGTTAGCATTAACAAAGCTAACTTTTTGGTTAGCTGTGCCCACCACTCGTGGATTTTAAATGGTTGATTTTAAACGAACACTGCTGAGGTTAGGATTGATCGGAACTGATCATGTTTATTGACGACCCGTCCAAAATAAACAAATAAGAACTTGATTAAAAACAAACGTCGGGCTGATTTTTCCTCCTGAGTTGTGTGAATTGACTAAACCTTAAAACACCACGAGGTTCCTCTTCCCAAACCCTGCTGCTGCTTTTCATCTGAACTTGTGAACTTATTTTGTCTTCGACCCTCTCGGCTCCTCGTTTGTCGCCTCAGCAACAACGACGACGAGGACTTGAGTCCGGAGCAGAAGATGGAGCGGGAACGGGAGCGGAGGATGGCCAACAACGCCCGGGAGCGCCTGCGGGTGCGCGACATCAACGAGGCGTTCAAGGAGCTGGGCAGGATGGTCCAGCTGCACCTGAAGAGCGACAAACCTCAGACCAAGCTGCTGATCCTGCACCAGGCCGTCGCCGTCATCCTGAGTCTGGAGCAACAAGTCCGAGGTCAGAACCAACAGAAGCACGTCCCTGTTCTAATATTTGTTTAACAAGTCAAACGGCATGGGCCACTACCGGTGGGAGCACCGCTGTCTGGTGTTAGCATGACGCCAAAGCGGAAAGACGTCAGCAATGACCTCAGAGAAGCAGCTGCCCATCGGTCTGGGAAGGGTCAAAGGTCGTTTAGAATCCATTGTTCTAGAGAAAGTTAGAGCTGAGCAGAAGTCTTGATGCAAATAAGAGTGGGCCAGAACAACAACCCTGAGGGACACACAGGAACCACTGGAGGAGGTTCTGCTGGACCTGGAACCAGTTTTTGAGTCGGTTCAGTTTTGGAACATAAAACCTTGAAGTTTAAAGTTTGTTTGAGCCCTTGTGTTCAGGAAACAAAGTCTAAGCCCTGAAAACGTTCTCTCTGCTTCCAGAGCGAAACCTGAACCCCAAGGCGGCCTGCCTGAAGCGCCGCGAGGAGGAGAAGGTCACCGTGACGTCGGACGGGACGCCGCTGACGCTGGCCGCCGCCCACGCCGCCGCCGCCGCCATGGGCGATGGACCAAACTCCATGGGACAAATGTAAAAAGCAGCAACATCTCCTCCCCCCTGAATGGTCAGAAGATTTCACTTCTGCTCTGATCAGCCGTTAAACCCAAAACAGACCAGAAACCAAAAACAGCCGAAGGGGTCTTTTTAGTATCTCAGCTGATTGTTGTTGTTGAATCCTTGGTTTCAAAACGGTTCTGTTTCCTCTCCAGGTCCAAGGTGCCGGAGTTCATCAAGATGATGAGTGACCACTTCCTCTGATGGAGTTTCCATGACAACCGGGCCAACCAATCACAACGGGCGCTTCGGCGAGGAGTCTCTGGAATTTCGGCTGAACCGGTCCGAGCCGCCACCATCTCCATCATCTTCCTCCGACCCTTCTCTTTGTCATCGTCGATTTCTTCTTCTCTTCCTGTCGAGAGCGTGGACCGCAGTCGCTTCGTGAAGAACGGACAGAAGAACTCCTCCTGCTTCGTGTTTCATCAGCATTCCCAGTTTTATGGAACAGAAGGTCATAAATAAATATATATATAAAAATAGAGAGAATTAAAAAAGGTCAACGTGACTCGTTACGAACGTGACGGTGGAAGTGAGAGGTCGGGCAGAAGGAAACGTATCGTTCAGTGTTACAAGAGTTTTTTGAAGCGGCGTTGCGCAGCTGTTGAACGGCGATCTAACGCCGCGCTGTGGACGAGGCCACGCCCAATTTCCTGCCGGACGCACAGAAACTATCAAACGGGAAAGTTCGACGCTCCGGTTTCAATTAGGACGAAGTGAAGAAGACGATTCCACAGACGGAGCCGGAGCTCTGCGCCGAAATCATCGAGACCGTCTTCACTCTCATCTCTGTACAAATCTGTGTCCGTTCGAGGGACGAGAGCTCGGAGTCGATCGTCACGAGACTCGAGGGGCGCCGGGTCGGTTTGAAACCACGTTTGAACCTTAAGTATTTTCTAATCATCCCATCTTGGCGAGACAAACTTTAAAACGAGGCGTTCTTGAGAATCAGCCGACCTTCGGTTTAGAGCTGGACTGATCATCGAACCGTTTTCCAGGTTTAGCACATTCCTTGAGTCTCACTACTTGAACCGAGTCCAAAAGGCCTAAAACTCAAGAGTTGGAGGAGCCATGGAAGAAGAAAGGGTTGAACAGCGGGTGGAGTGATGGTGGCGCTGTCAGGGACACCATCGGACCATGAGGCGTGGGTTCTCTTCCAGGGGCAAGCAGCTGTAGTTGAAGCATTCCTGTGTCAGACTAGTGGTTCCCTCAAGTCCTGGTTTAGTTTCTGGCTGAATCCTCCAACCTCAGACCTCAAACTATCGATCCATCGGGGGTGGGGGGGGCACTTTAGATTGATGCCGGACCTGTCATTGGTCTTTATGTTCCTAAAATTATGGCTAACAATATTTGAAGTTGGTTCCAAACGGGTTCTTTCAAAGGATCGTGCCACCGTGGCTTGTTTGGACCAAGGACACGTCTCAGTAGAGACCAAGTGTGTAGAAGTTCAGAACAACGTTCTGCCACATGACGTCGTAGCCGCGGCCTTTTTGGACTGGCAGATGAAAAGGAAGGAGCTGGGACGTATTCCATTTCTTAGATTTGTCCCTACGCCCTGGTTGTAGACCTCTTGGCCGTACAGTTGGACCGTGACCCTAGAACATTAATGCACGTTCAGAGGGGGAATGTCCCCTGCCTGTCCATTTCAAATGTCCTTTTGTCCATCAGTCCAGTCGCTAAGGGTTGTGGGACCAATGACTCCCTACAGAATGGGACACCCCGAACCGTTTGTCTTGGTGTAAATTAACAAATGTCTCAATCTCATGTTCTCCCTTGGTCTTTGTTGGAAGAGTTTGTCCTTTAAGAAACTGGTCCAGCATCAGTCGTCATCGTCGCAGCTCCACAGAAACAGGTGCGATTAAAAAATGTCCAAATCTTTGAAGGAGCTAGTCAGACTTATCACTACCAACAGGCTTTAGCTTTGACGATGGCAATGGTCCCAAACCTGTGCTCCCAGTATCTCGCAGCATTTTCTGGCCAGCGAGGATATATGACCCCTCAGAGTCCTGGCTCTGCGTCCTTCTACTGCGACTTCTTAAAATTTAAAAAACTGTTCAACTCAGTTTATAAAGTCACACCAGACGTCGTCTCAGGACAAACCAACGGCACTGGGAAATAACTAACTGGGAAATAACTAACTGGGAAATAACTAACTGGGCTCGATCTTTTAAAGATCAAGCCTCTTTGCCATTGGCATCAGAAACATTTGTAATGTGGGGGAACACACCGGTTGGAGTAGCCATACAAATGCAGGTCATACCCTACATCACAAAAACATCTGGAATCCCACCCCCCTGGTGTGAACCTGGACCTTTCTTTTGATTTGTGTTCGACTTTGAGAGTCTGAAGTTTTGGTTCTGAAGATCTTTGGACCATTGTTGGTTTGACGATGAGTCCAGAGGCGTTGGCAGCAGAACCTCAGACCGTCACCTGGCCCAGCGGCGGCGCCACCGAGGAATAGACCGAACGTCCGGCATCGATCTGAAGCCCCGGGTCACCTCTGCTGAACCCCTTCCAATGAACCCCGGTGCCGGTACTTTACAAATACTAGCCTTACGAGCCCCGAACCAGAGCCCGAGCCCCTCTCCGGCCTCATGCCCCCCCGAAGCGCTCCCTCCCGCAGATGCAATTTGAACATTCACACGTTACCAATGTGCCTTTCTAGAGTTCATATCATTCAAGTTGCCAGAGGAGGACATTGTCCTGGTCTTCAATAGGATGCAAGCTTAGGGAGACCTGTTCTTAGTTGTTAGGTTCTATGCAGTCAGGTTTTTTACCAGACCTGGGACTTTAAAAAAAGATAAAAAGGAAAAAAAAGTATTTTTTGGATTAAAAAAGTAACTGTATTTAATGTACTGTACGCTTGTATGTAAGTAGACAACGTGTTCTGGCGTCAAGCCGATGGGATAGACCTTGATTTAGAAAGACTGGTCCTGGTCCTGGTCCCCAAGGTACCCCACAACCCCGACCCCACGTTCCTGTTCCAAACCTGAACCCCGTTTCCACGACGGACAGCGCGTCTCCTCTTGTATTATAGCTTCAGCTTTTTATCAATATTTGATCGGCTCGTCTGTAAGCCAATGTAGTCTTCAGTACTGTGTGGTCGTTTGTTGTTGCACTTTCTTTCCCTCTGCGCTCTTTCGTTGTTTTAAAGAACAATCTTTTATTCTTCTTTTTGTCTGGTCTGGTTTTCATGTCGGATACAAAAAATGTAAAAAGAGAAAAGAACAAAAAAAATCAAGAATTCGCTCCAACGGCATCGTTCTGTCAGCTGACGTGGTTCAAGTCCCAACCGTTCGACGGGAAGTCTGGGACACTGGAAGAAGAATCTATTTGAATAAATCAATCTATATATAAATGTACAAAAATATATACGATATATAACGAGGGTGCCGTTTCTGGTGTTAGTTTTTTTATATTTGTGGCGACCAAGTGTTTCCTCGGGGAGTTGTTTTGTCAAAGACTGAACTGGCAGAAATCGTCGAACCTCCTCAGTGTTACAATTTTTCAACTGACTGCATCGTTTCTCCGTGTTGCCATGGTGACCCGTGTACGGCACCCCACACGGGACAAAAAACAGAACCCGGGACCGGAGCTGCTCCAGCTCCATTCAGCAACAACACGGACATTTGTAAATTGTATGCAACAAAAAATGGCAAACTTTACCATTATTTTGAAATTGTGTATGTAAAAGTTATATTTTTACATGTAGACGGTTGTTATTTTGTGTTTTAGAAATATGATGTTTTGTTTTGGCTTTTTTTTAATTTTTTTGTTAAAAGAATAAAAAGTAAAAAATTCATTGTTGGGAGAAAAAAGTCGCGTTGAAAATGTAGTGAGATCAAAAAGTCTGATTTATTTTATTTGGTTATATGTTGGAGACGTTTGAGGGAGGAGTCAAACATTGTTCACGCCTCATAACTTTTTTTTATTTTCAGAAAACGTGTAAATAGTCGTCGCGTCGGCCAAATTTCTGTGGCGTAAAGATTTTCCAGTGACCCGATGATCATGAAGATGAATTTGTGTTTTTAGTGCGCTCGTGTTTGTCCCGTCGGCTCGTAGCGGCGCTGCTCCGTCGGCTCGTAGCGGCGCTGC